ACTCTCGACCGACAGCTGCTTCCCTAATGTGGTGGTCTGGTTGACATATCACGATGACCCGACGAGTTATGCTAGTGTAACGTTTTTTCTTTCGAGGTCCTATCAAACTAGAAAGATTAGTTAAATATTGGAAAAACAAAAAGCAGTTACACTTAAAGTGTTAGATACTGCCCCGCGATCAGGGTCCAGGGACGAAGTCTTACTACTGGCTTGAACGGATTGCGATAACAGTAAACTGTTTCCTTGTGATGACTAGTAGTACTATGCTAATACTACCTTGCGTAAGGAGAGACGGGCTTAGAAAGGTCTGTCCTAAAAATAATACACTCTGTGGAACAGTTCAACTACCTTTCAGCTACTGTTCCATTCCCCGCTATCCAGTTGGATCCTGAATAGAACATTGAAATAAAGCCTCCAACATTTGCAAAAGTCGAGGAATCTTTAATTAACCTGACACGAAAAAGGGTAGCGGGACTAACCGATTTAGTACCGGAGGTATTCAAGGTCGTCGGTTGTAGATTACTGAGACATTAGTCACGCACTCTTGTCGGTGGGTATATGGACCAAATATTCACCATCCGACAGGTTCTGCAACACAGACATGCCTACTAACGCCCGACACAAGTTGTATTTCCAAACCTAAAAGAGCCATTTGAATCCGTCTATCGAGAGGTCTTATAGTGGTATATCTCTCGCTGAAAGGAGTACTAGGTGAGTGTACCGCCTTGATGTAGACTGTATCCTAAAGTACTTGTGTACGTTTTACAGTCTATGGTGATTTTTCATGTGTACTACGAATGGTTTATGCTAAAGATATCCACTAAACCTATTTTTGTGTCAGAGATGTGCTTGTGTAGGTCTTCCTCTCACATCGGACTCTACAGGATTGTTCTTGTCCTTTGTAGACCTAAAGCACACAGATGATATACTGTTAGATGAAGACACTGACAAGATTTAGAGTCTTCTCCACACATTGAATGGGAATTTGAGAATGTTTGGGATGTGCTTTTAGACACCCAAATGTAAATTGTCGCTCCGGAACTGGTCTTTGCGGGTGCCTTGTCTAACAGTAAGGAGTGAAATAATTGAACGCGTTGAGTGCATCGATTACTTGGGAAGTCAGGTCAATCGTGGTGGGCCAGGGACTGGCAAATTATATGCACGGATATAAAAGGCGCCACCCTGAAATCTGATTACGTATCAGCGGTTTAGTATGCTGCACTACAGTTCCTTCTGTCCTACTGTATGTATGTGAAATATAGCCGTGGACGATGTATGCGAGTGTCAGGTGTTCGAAAACCGTCGCCTTTCGTTGCAAAGGCTGTGTATTGTGCTGTCACCACGTCACTAACCTAGGAACTAGGCACACAATTTTAGGGAGAGAGTAAAAGTTAGTTGATGAGATTGTGAACCTTCATCGACTTAGGAGACTGGGACATGTGATACACATGCTTTATACCATCTACACTGTCACACAATGCTAGCTGAAGTGAGTTCAGTCTGGAAAAAGGTTGGAGACAGTCAGACTAAAATATGGCATGTGTGTAAGGTCCCTGATTGTTGGTCTGAAACGTGTAGGTTAATGTAAGCTTCCCAGTTTGGGTCCGCTTGACAATAGAAATGAGTGATCGTAGACTAGCCTCATAATCGATCTCAACGGCACAGATTCATCCACACGTTGTTTCAATTGTCATACTGAATTCCAGTATCCTATTATTCCTCTTTGTTCTCTTTCGATGACTTTCTCTACCAGCTTTATTCTTTATTTCCTTATCTTTCATCTTAGCGCATTCTCGTTTGATGTGCTCAAATGAGGTGTGTTAACTTGAACTACTAAAGAGTAATGCTATGTCCTATATTGATATTATCTGTCTCTTTAGGGGTTTTACAAGTGGATCCGGTTTCACTATCTGAGAAAGGGTTTGAACTCGAAGAATTCATTATGATTTTGTTAATCTGGTGTTTACAGACTAGTAACTTGCTTTGTTGGCTTTGGACGCTGGTGGCGGTTGGAGAGGAGAAAGTTGAGTAAACGGCAAAATCCAGTTTTAGCATCAAGGACAGGTAGTGAAGGGAAGGGTGGGGAAAGACCGATATTAAAATGGATCGGTTCTGGTTAAATGTCTAGTTTATTCACAATAATATGTAGGTGATTAATTCTTGACGGTTGCTTACATGGTGTAACATTGTTTTCTCGAGGTAGTCGAAAGAAAATGTGGGTTAGTTTTGTATGAATGTAAAATTAAGCAATGTTTAATAGCGAGTGATTACGTACTGCATTTTTAAAGTGTACCTAAACTAATTACTGCTAGTGACAGGAAAATGTAAAACAAAGGCTAAGTGTCCCACTTATAGGACTTAGTTTCTCTGCGCTTTCCCTTATGGATTAGTAAGGCAGTGTAGCTTGTAGTGGATCCAAAGAAATTTCAAGTAAATTGAAATGTTGAACTACGTATAATTAACAAAAATAGATTCAGTGATGCATGAACGTTCAAAGTTATGCATTATAATGCAAAATACTAATATTAGTGTTATGGATAGTAATCGATCACTTGAATATTATCCACCACAATTCAGTATACTCCAATGTTAGTTTTTTTGGAAGTAGAATAAGAGGTTCCATAAAATCCAAGGATAATCGCATCATCATAGAACAGAGTATAGAATGGCAGTCAACCCTCTACCTCACCTCAACTTCATCGACTTTGGAAAGGCCTTTGACAGCGTCGATTGAGAAGTAATTTGGCAGTCAGCTGCTTCAACACTACAGTCTCAGTGTCACAAACATTTATCAACCTCATTCAACAACTATATGAAGATGCCACATGGCAAGCAATTCACAATGGGAAGCTCAATGATGGCTTTGCGGTGAAGACAGGAAGGAGTAAAACAAGGCTGTCTACTATCACCCATGATATTCGTGATTGTAGTGGACTGGATTGCATGATGATGCAAGGAAGAGTGATTAGGGAGAAGAGGGGGACATGCTGGCTGGGCGGGGGAAAATAATTTAGAAGATTTGGATTTCGCCAGTGATGACTTGTGTCTGATGTCACACACACACACACACTTGAAGATGTACAGGCGAAAAGTAACAAGTTGACAGAAGAGGAAGGGTAGGGTAGGGTAGGGCATCCAAGGAAGACGGCACTTCCTCCTTCAGATGAATGTAGAGAAGACAGAGGTGATGAACATACCAAATCAACACCACCACCACCACCTCCAACAACAACAACAAGCTCCAATCACCATGAACGGGAGAAATTTGAAGAAATTAGCCTCCTTCACCTATCTAGGAAGACAGGCATTCATTAACCTGAGACCAGTGTGGAGAGGGGGATAAACTTGACGGGGGAAGAGAACCTAGGAGACTTGGATTTCGCCGATGACTTGTGTCTGATGTCACACGCACTTAAAGATCTACAGGTGAAAACTAACAAGTTGACAGAAGATGTAGGGCAGGGCAGCGAAGACGGGACTTCAAGTGAATATAAAGAAGACAGAGGTGATGAAGATACCCAACCAACGACACCACCATCACCAACTATCCCGAATCACCATCAACGGTAGAAACTTGAAGGAAGTTATCTCTTTCACCTATCTAGGCAGAACTGTTTCAACTACAGGCGGCATAGACGAGGATGTCAAAGTCGGGATCAGAAACACACCAAGACAGGCATTGATTAACCTGAAACCAGTGTGGAGATCTTCTGCACTCCGCATAAAGCGTGAACAACATCCGGATTTTCAGCACCAATTTAGTCGAGTCAGTGCTCCTGTATGGTTCAGAGAATTGGTGCTTTACGAAAGGTATTTCCAACAAACTACACACATTCATCAACAACTGACGCCTACGCTGGCTCGTTACTGAAGATCAGATGGATTGCCAGAATAATAAGAATAAGCAACAAGGAACTCTGGCTGGCTGGCTGGGAACGAACCAACCAAGAACCTATCACTCAACAAATATGCACTGTAAGGAAGTGTAGATGGATTGAGCATACACTGAGAAGGCCGACTGGAGACATCACGCATCAGGCGCTCGAGTAAAAATCCAGATGGGAAACGGTGAATTGGGCGTCCAAGGATGACATGGAGGAGATGGTGTGAGGAGGAAATGAGAGCTTGTGGGCAGTGGTGGAGCCAGGTTGAAAAGATTTCAGAGAAGAGAGTGGAATGGAGACGTGTTACTGAAGCCCTATGTTCCATTAGGAACCCAAGGGACAAATAATCATAATCATAAATTCATATCAGACAGTAGTCAACGGAGGCAGAAGTCGAAATGGATAGAAGTACATTATATTTCCACGTTTCAAAAGTAGAAGGAAAGTAGTACAGCTACAACCAAAATTTCACCTTTTTAGGTTGTGCAAATAAACAACATTCGTCATCATAATTATTAGACAGAGTTTACAAAATGTGTAAAAAAAAAATAGTTTATGCATAATTTCATGAAGTCTAGACAAGCTGAACTGCTTCTTATCTGAAAGGAAGACGAATACAACGAAAAGTATATTGAATCAATAGTATGACTTCTCTATAAAACCTTCCACTATGATGTAAGTTATTCATACCATAATTGTGTTTCATTTTTTGTACTATTACTATCCAATAGATTTTCTTATCATAATGTCACTTGAAACAACAATTGTTTAATTCAGTGTAGATAGTTGCAATCTGTTCATCCTACCTCCATTGTAATGTATCAGTCTCATGTTTCTTTAAATCCTAAATTCTAAATAATGATAGGTTATAAACATCTTATAGGCATTGATGCATCTTTTATTGAAAATGCCAATTGAAGTAAATTTACAGTATGAACAACTTATTCATGGATGTTGATAAATGGAAGCAATGAATTTCTTTTCTCATATTCTTGTTTATGACTTAGTTATTTATTTTCGTTTAAATCTATAGTGTTTTCATATTGGAAAACCTAATTATAACTATGTACATTGCATTGAAAAAAAAATTTTTTTTCATTTTTTTTTTCAACCTAGGTGAAGGATTCTTTGGACGTGTATTTAAAATGCGTTTAAAGTCAACAAAAGATTCATTTGCAGTAAAAAAGATACCATTTTGCAATTTAGATCCACAGAATCCAGATATGATAGCAGATTTAGAAATAGGAAAATTACATCCACATCCATTTTTATTACGCTCTTTTTGTGCATTCACTTGTGGAGATGCTGTTTGGATTTTATTAGAGCTTATGGATATTTCATTAGATGTACTGTTAAATAAAGTAAGCGCTTACTCTCTCTCTCTCTGCCTATATATATATATATATATATATATATATATATATATATAACAATTATTATTATTGTATTATTTGTCCTTTGGGTTCCTAGTGGAACATAAAGCTTCAGTAGCACATCTCCAGTGCACTCTGTTCTCTCTCGCGCTGGCCGAGGAACCTGAAGGTCACGGGTTCGATCCCTGCTGGTGGGGTCATGGGTGCGCACTGCTGAGGAGCCCCATACTAGTCGGACGAAACAGCTGTCCAGTGCTTCCAGGTTTCCTTTGTTCCTCCAACTGATGTTAGTCTACGATGAATAACAACTTGAAATAATTCCAAATCTCCACAACTCTTTCAAAATCTTTTGAACCTGGTTCCATGACAACCCATAAGCTCTGGTTTCTTTCTCACACCATCTCCTCCATGTCATCCTTGGACACCCAATTCACCGTTTCCCATCTGGGGTTTTACTAGAGCGCCTGACTCGTGATGTCTCCAGTCGGCCTTCTCAGTGTATCCTCAATCCATCTACACTTCCTTACAGTGCATATTTGTTGAGTGATAGGTTCTTGGTTGGTTCGTTCCCAGCCAGCCAGCCAGAGTTCCTTGTTGCTTATTCTTATTATTCTGGCAATCCATCTGATCTTCAGTAACGAGCCAGCGTAGGCGTCAGTTGTTGATGAATGTGTGTAGTTTGTTGGAAATACCTTTCATAATGCGCTAAGTCTCTGAACCAATATATATATATATATATATATATATATATATATGAGCCTATATCTTAATTAAACAATAGAGAATAACAAGTATGTCAATATATAGTAATAACTACTATCTGTTGCACAAGAAATGGCTATCCTTCCTCTGTGGCATAATGGGTAACGCCCTGGGGTTTGAAGTTATAGATACAAGGTTCGAGTCTCAGTGGGAACAACATCACTGGGGTGCAGGTAAATCCAGCTAATGAGTCCCAAATATGACGAAATGCTCTCCTGCTGGATTCCTCTGTTAGCCACAACCAACCAAGTTATCATAATTAATATTCAGGCAATATCGAGGTATCCGCATAGAACCCCCATATGCTAATAGAAGTTGAACAATTCGATCCAATAAAACAATACAGAATAACAAGTATGCCAATAAATAGCTATAATATAGTAGTTTTTAAATAAGTATAGAATAAGTAAAGCTTACGGAAGAAATGCATAATAATAACTTTATTTCAAACACAATATTATAGGATAGTGTAGAATGTCTTAGCATGTAATTTTTCAACAAGTTCACTCACGGAACTATAACTTTCAAACAAAATGGTTATTACATTGGTATGATGTTAATAATATAACAGTATTCAAAGCAATGATATGAAATAGCCAACTCGTTCTAGATTACCATCCAGTCCATAATGAAGAATCAATAGGAATCCAGACGTAATTTTGATTCTTGTGGTAGTTCATTTAGATGGTACAAATATCTTCAACTCAAGCTAAAGCATCTGATGGATAGAAATATGATGTAGTTTTTTTTGCACCAAAAAAGTCCTTTACCATATAACGTAACACTTTTTTTCTTTCTTTGTTTTGTTATTAACTTGAAAAACGGAGAATTGGAAACAGTTTAAAAATGTGTAAGAGTACATGATACATTAAAAGGACATAATATAAATGATTAAAACAAATTGAAATAGAAAAAATTTGATGAAAAATGTTCTATGGATAAATTTAGTAGTTCAAGGTGTTCAAGTAGGCTGCCATATTGTTAAGTAGTGAAAAAGACAAAGTTTTCTGTTATTTCATATACCCTACTTGAGTAGTCTATCTTTGGGCTCTACATGATTCAGATCGAAAATCAAAGACTTCATACACTGAGGCCTCTTTTTTTTTCCAGTCTATCCATCTCTAACCTTTTTCCTGTTTGAAGCTAATTCAGCTAACATTGTAACTCATCCTTTTTAGTTTTTCATTGTCTGTAATTGTATAAAAGTTGTACTCAATCAATTGATCTATCTAATATGTAAGTAGTTACTCGGCGATGCAAATTACAGAATGAGCTTTATGTTAGAAGTGTATAAATCCCTGCATAATTCATATATAAGATAACTAGCCAGTAAATTGTATTATCTATCCAATTGTAATAAAATGTAACATAATCACTCAAATAAAGATAAAAGCATAGATGTATATGTACTATTTTGAACAGTTGTGAAGTACATCGTTTCAAAGCTGTTAAAATATCGGTTTCTGTTACTATACTTCAGTCCCTAGCCAAAAAGTTTACGTTATCCTACATAGCGAAACAAACACATAAATGGTGTCAAGTAGTTGCTTTCACAATCGTCCAGGTCACGTGGTCAGTACTCATCTCTGCGAATACGATTAAGCGTAATTTATTTACATGAAGTTTTTCATGTAACCTGGCTAGGGATGGAACTCAGGACCTCGGTCGTGGGTGCGTGCTGCTGAGGAGTCCCATACTAGGACGAAACAGCTGTCCAGTGCCTCCAGATTTTCAGTGGTTCCCCAACTGATGTCAGTCCATGATGAATACTACTTATATATATATATATATATATATATATATATATATATATATATATATCCCGTCATTTACTATTTCTTTCCATTGATATTCTTGGCTGTTTTTCTTACCTAATTTAACTTGCTAATAGTAAAATGAAGTGGCTTTACGAAAATTGACTATTTGATGTGAACAGCGTTTTCATCATCATCATCATCATCACAGACTTGACGTTATCGCTGTCCAGTGCTGTGAGGCTTTCAGAAGTTATCCAACTGATGTCAATCTATCAAGAAAATCGCTTGACTAATGTTAACCTGAAAGCGTTTTCATCATGCAATAAATGTAGACATTTTCCTCTATTGTAAAAATAGCTAGTAGCTAACAGTGGAATCCAGGATGCGAGTTTTATCCCATTTGGGACTCGTCAGCTGGATATAACACTAATTCTACTATATCGTATGCCAATCTTAGTCCTGTTAAGTGAAGACGCTGACAAGATGCAGAGTCTTCTGAACACTTTGAGTGTGAATTTGAGAATGTTTGGGATGCGATTTTCACCACGCGATTGCAAATTTTTGCTTCAGGACTGGTCTTCAGCGGTACCGCGGCTAAGAATAGAGAGTGAAGTGGTTGAGTGTGTTGACCACTTCACTTACCTGGGAAGTAGGATCAACCCTGGTGGATTAGTTGCCGATGAGATTTTTGCACGGATACAAAAGGCTCGATTGGCTTTTACTAATTTGCGCCACCTATGGCGCCGCTGTGATATCTGTTTGTCTATTAAGGTTCACGTGTACTGCACAGCAGTCGCTCTGTCCTACTGTGTGGCTGTGAAACATGGCCATTGAAAGTGGAAGATATGAGAAGGCTTCAGGTGTTTGACCATGGTTGCCTTCAAAGTATAGGCCGCCGTATTGCGTGGTGTCACCATGTGAGTAATGCAGAAGTCAGGTGTAGGTGTAGAGTTTTGGGGGGAAGAGGTAAGTCAGTTGACGAGGTTATGAACCTTCATCGACTGAGATGGTTGAGACACGTACTACGTATGCCTAGTCACTGATTGCCTTGTCACACAATGTTGGCTGAGGTGGGTCCAGGCTGGATAAAGGCCCGAGGTGGCGAGACTGAAACATGGCACCAATGTATGAAGTGTCTGACTGTTGGTTTAAGCCATGTGGGGTGATGGAGACTAGGTGGTCGGGGTGTGGGTGGGGACAAGAGGAACCAGTGATGGAGACTCTAGGGGATATGACTCTTCTACTGTTAGAAATCCCTGTAACTCTGTTGTTTGCCGACACAGTTATGTATAATATTTGGCCTTTTTTATCAGCTGAAGAGTGTAGCCACTTTTGATTTACACACCTGAACCAATTCTTTGGATTGTCACAAGGGTTTGTTATTGAAAGTTTTAACTCTGTTTCATTTATATATGAGTATATTCAAGTTTCATGCCTTTTTTGATTGGAAAATTTGTTTATAATTTGATATAAGATGATTGGGAGTTTTTAAGAGTGAAGCGTTTGAGTGCGTTGACCACTTCACTCACTTGAGAAGTTGGCTTAACCCTGGTGGGTCGATGCCGATGAAATCTCTTCAGGGATATAAAAGACTCGATTGGCCTTCGCCAGCCTACGCCATCTGTGGTGCCGCTGCTGTGATATCCGATTGTCTATTAAGGGTTGAGTGTACTGTAGTGCAGTTCGCTCCGTTATACTGTGAAACGTGGTCATTAAAGATCAAATACATGAGAAGTCTTGTGGTGTTTGACCACTGCTACCTCGGTAGCATAGGCTGTGTTTTGTGAGTAACGCAGAAGTCAGGTGTAGAGTTTTCGGAAGGACAGGATAGTCACTTGATAAGGTCATGAACCTTAATCCATTCATGTGGCTAGGATGTGTTACGGATGCCTAGTCGCCGTTTGCCTCGTTACGCAATGTAGCTGAAGTAGGTTCACGCTGGAAAAAGGCTCATGACAGGCAAATTAAAACATGGCAACACTGTATAAAGTTTTTGATTGTTGGTTTGAGCCATATTGGAAGAAGCAGACTAGCTTGGTTAGGGTCCACGTGATAACAGAAACTAGTGTTTGGAAACTCTATGTGATAAGGCTGAGAATCGATGTCAGTAGCGCAAATGTATCTGCGTTTTATTTCAACTTTAAACACTGCACTGAATTCACCATCCTCTCAATCCTCCCTCCTATCTTTTACTGATTTAGACTAATTAGTATCTCTTTCTTCATGTTTAATGTTACTGCTTTATTGCTTATTGTGCTGATATGAGATGTGACAACTTGGATTGTTACTCAATAATGCCTAGTTGTATGTTGAAACTGATTTAAATTTTGATTTTGGGAGTTTTTAAAAAGGAATATTTCTGGTTCATGTGAAGATTTTATCTCTTCTATAGTTTGTCTCAAATCATGTTACTTTCTTATGAATTTAGGTGCTAAGTGTTTAATTCTCTCGCTTTGATAGTAACATAAAAGTATGATTATCATTTTATGAATACTGATTCTCATGTTCTTATGAATTTCCTATCAATGAAAGTTGACATAATAAGCAAGTAAAATGATGTGGTAGTAGCTTATAATATAGTTACTCTTAAAGCGATCGAAAAATCAGCTTTTAATCGAAGCTGAGATAACAATCGACTCTCAATTGGATTGCTTATTGCATAAGATAATCATTTTTCGTCTTAAAATTACTTCTCATATGTAGTTACAAAAACTTTAGGTAAAATACACAATTAAAATTATTAAGATTTGAATCGGTACTGTAGTAGTTAAGCGGCTTAATGAGGTTAGATCAACAACTTGAGTCTGGTCACTTCAGAATAGGAAGCATTCAGTCATCTATACTGTTTTATTTATCTATCATCTAAAATTAGACCACGTCTACTTCGTCTGCCGGTTAGTTACAATTTTGTCACTTAAATTGGAGCGAAGTTAAAGACAATTAACTGCCATGGCCTCTGAAAGTTAAGTTGAATTCGTGTGTGTGTGTGTGTGGTGATAATTATGGTAGACAAGAAGAAAACTATATGTCAATAGTTTTTTAAGCAAATCCAGTAACGCATACCTTTCTATCATGGTTCATATATGATATTTCCTGCATAATAATAATAATAATTTGTAAAGTTAATGCACAATTTAATCATAAGCAAACATAGTCTGATGTTAGCTAATACCCTATATCATACTGCATATAGTAAACATGATATTGAATTTCTCAGTCCAAATTCACTTCTACACATGGATGATTGATGTTCCACACTGAATTTTATTATCTGCTTAATACAGTTACAAGTATAAGTGGTTAATCTCATTCATATCATATCAAATCATATCATTTTAGTTGGTTGAACATTGTGTTTAAAAGCGAAATCAAAGCTTCTGTACACACTTCATTACTGCAGAAATTAGAAGGATAGCTAGTTGTTAATGTATTGTGTTTTTTGTTGTACATTAACTCTCTCTATTATTTTTCAATAGAATGACAATGCATTGTAAAACGATTTATATCAATGTCTCTAGTAACTTCTTTCTTATTTGTCTTGTTAATAAACACCATCTTTATAGTAAACTGATCTATCATTGTTGAGAGTTTATTTCACCTGAAAATTGTAAACTAACTAACTAGTATTACCATTTATATTATGTTTTTCTCTTGGTTGTTAATTTTACAGGTGAAAGCATGTAATCAATACATTCCTGAAAATGTTCTTCAACATATTACTTTTTCTATTGTCTCAGCTTTGTATCACTTAAGATACAATATGAATATGTTACATCGAGATATAAAGCCAGCCAATATGTTGGCTAACAAAAGTGGTGAAATAAAGGTGAGAAAATAATAACGTGATAATACTGTTGGATAATTTACATCCTTTTTTCTTCAAGTTCTCCCTCTGTATATACGGCTATCTTTTATAGTATGTCTACTAGTTATAGAACAAGACTAGTAGATAGTGTGTCTGTTGGAAATCGGAGTCTTTCACAATAAAATAACATTTCATGCGAAACGTTTGTCTTTAATAACGGGATTTCAGCTAGTTAATATCTCATGACGTTAGTCTGACCGTAAAACGTCAGGCAAGCAGTTCCGCTCTACGCCTGTGAAACTTGGCCTATCTGAGCCGATACTGTGTGTTTGATCATTGTTGTCTCTGTAGAATTGCTCAAATCCGGTAGAAACACCAACACCTCCCACACCGTTCGTCGCTTGCTAGCTCTGGGACTGGGTGAAAGAAGCGAAAGGGTGGTCAGCGTATGAAGCGGCACTGTGGGATGATGAATAGTTGTATCGGGTTACCACTCTCTGGGCGGAGTCCGAGAGATCACACAACTCAGTGGCATAAGACGTTATCAGATATGGCTGACAATCGAAACCAGTGGAGGTCATGCTGTAGCTTTCTTCTATCTTTTGCTGCTGAAAAGTAATGAATGTTTTGTTCTGAATGTATCTTACTGGACTAGCCTTCTAACCATACTATTCTTATTGTTTTTCTTTCTAACTTATCAACTTCCCATGGTTTATGTTTTCACATTGTTATCATGCTATTTTGTGTGGCGCATTTCTTGGTGCCATTGATGTACCTTGTTTGAGTCCTAATAATAAAATAATGAGTAATGTCTATGTGTCACAGATTTCAGCACCTCTCCACCTACTATGGTTTAGGCAACCAGCTAAATGGGGCTCATTACCTACTGCGTGTATATGCACAATTTTGTTTGAGTGGATTTCGATGTTGATTCCATTCGGGTTATTTTTACCAGATGAAACTCAGCTGCAAACTGATTTAATTTCACCACAATTATAGATTGTTGTAAACAGTAGGACTGTATCGTTATACGATCAATCTATAAACATGTTTTTATCTCAATCAAGTTAATATCTCTGGTTTTTGTGTAAGATATTCAGATCCGCTCCTAACTCATCCAACCATGCTCATATCATCTGTCATTGTAGTCAGTGTGTTCTTCATCAACGTGATGCATCTCTTAAAATTAGGATACTCAACACTGTCTCATGTAAGACATACTAATTACTATCACTGGAATACTTCTGTTATTATTATTATTATTTATCCCTTGGGTTCCTAATATAACATACGGCTTCAGTAACACGTCTCCATTCCACTCTCTTCTCTGAAATCTTTCCAACCTGGCTCCACGACAACCCACAAGCTCTCATTTCCTCCTCGCATGATCTCCTCCATGTCACCCTCACCTGGGATGCCCAACTCGTCGTTTCCCCTAAGGGTTTCACTCGACGGCCTGGCCTGATACGTGATGTCTGCAGTCGGCCTTCTCAGTGTATGCTCAATCCATCTCCACTTCCTTCCAGTGCGTATTTGTTGAGCGATAGGTTCTTGATTGGTTCGTTCCCAGCCAGCCAGATTGAGTTCCTTGTTGCCTATTCTTATTATTCTGGCAATCCATCTGATCTTCAGTAACGAGCCAGCGTAGGCGTCAGTTGTTGATGAATGTGTGTAGTTTGTTGGGAATCCCTTTCATGACGCGCCAAGTCTCTCAAGCATCACATAGAAGCACTGACTTGACTGACGTTGGTGTTGAAAATCCGGATTTTGTTCACGCTTTATGTTGAGTGCAGAAGATCTCCACACTGGTTTCAGTTTAATGAACGCCTGTCTTGCTTTTCCTATCCTGGCTTTGACATCCTCGTCTGTGCCGCCTGTAGTTGAAACAGTGCTGCCTAGATAGGTGAAGGAGGCTAGTTCCTTTAAGTTTCTTCCGTTGATGGTGATTGCAGTTTGTTGTTGGTGGTGTTGTTGGTTGGGTATCTTCATCACCTCTGTCTTCTCTATATTCACTTGAAGTCCCGTCTTCGCTGCCCTGCCCTACATCTTCTGTCAACTTGTTAGTTTTCACCTGTAGATCTTTAAGTGCGTGTGACATCAGGCACAAGTCATCACTGGCGAAATCTAAGTCTCCTAGGTTCTTTTCCCCAGTCCAGCCAGTGTATCCCCCTCTTCTCGCTCCTCACTGTTTGTTGCATGATCCAGTCGACTCAGGCTTAGGACCGGCTCGTAACTGGTGAACTAGTCAACCAGTTGAGGTTGGAATACTTCTGTTAGGCAATGGTTTATTCAGATTATTCCTTTCGAGGCATTCCCGTTGTTATAGTTGTAATAAGGAAGTGGATAACCTTACGATTATGACAACCCTTTGATGACTTATGCTGCTGTTTATAGGCATAACAGTAGAAGCTGTAGAATCTGGATTCATCATCATATCATCAGCAAAGGACCAAGCATACTGTGTAACAGACTAAGTTACCCCACACCCCATATCGGCACATCAAGTAACAAAGCACTAAGATGAAAGACAAAAAAAATATACAGAAGAATCAATCAAAAGCAGTAAAAAGGGAGGAGTGAGAAATTATTGAATTCGGTATGATGATTAAGATGAATATAATATATGGATACATCTAAGCCATATCACCTAGTTACTGACCACTGGTTTGTGTTGTCACGTGGACACTATCCGGGAAGTCTACATTGCCCTATATGGTTCAGTCCAACAATCAAAGACTTAAGGGGTTGGTGTTATCTTTTAATCCGGTGCCGCCGAATTTTTTTCTAGCCCAAACTTACTTCAGCTAACATTGTACCATGCGGAAGGTGATCATACGGCATACGTAACACATATCCCAGTCACCTAAGTCGATGAAGGTTCACGACCTTATCAACTGACATTTCTTCCCTACACCTAACTTCCGCATTACTGATATGCTTACGCTATAACTGACGGCCTATGCTACTAAGGTAATAGTAATCCGAAATCTGAAACCTTTTCATGATCTCTACCTTTAATATATGGAGCATTTGATTCTGACCCAGTGGCTCAATGGTAACCCGCTGGCCGCGGAACCTGAAGGTGACGGGTTCGATCCTTGGCGGGGTGGGGTCGTGAGTGTGCACTGCTGAGGAGTCCCATACTAGTTGTATAAAACAGCTGTCCAGTGCTCCCAAGTTTCCTTTGTTCCTCCAACTGATGTCAGTATAAGATGAATAACAACTTGAAATATTTCCAAATCTCCACAACTCCCTCAAAATTTAATATCCATGTTTCACAGCCATAGAGTAGAACAGAGTGAACTGCATTCACAGTTGTCGTTCAGCCTAACAATTAATAATTACCAACTTTCAACTCAACCCTAACCCTATTGAAGCAAAAGAAGATAATATTTGACACTGAAAGCAACTTATTTTCGGTATACAAGCAAAATGAAATAGCTGAAATGAATTGTATGCTAAAACTGTGAGTGAGATTGATCAGTAAAAAAACAGCGAAACATTAAAATATCATAGGTGGTTATTAAGTAAGTTGTAGAAGACAAATTGTAAAAAGTAAAGCTTCAACAGTTACTGTGAAGGGTCGAATTTTCTGGACAAAAGCCACTGAATAGTGGAATGATTGGCTTAGTGTCCAAGGTGATGTACAGATTAAGTACGACTAACGCATTAGATTAGAAGTGCATCATTTCATATTTTCATGGTTACATGGTTTTGATCACAGGTTTCTCCGTAGCATTGCTGATACTTGGTGAAATCATCGTGTGAGAAATGTTTGAGGTTATTTGATGAGGTTTTGAAGTTTAGTCGACTGAGATGGTTTGGACGTACACTGAGCATGCTAAGTCACCAGCCTATCTCGATGTGCCATACTAGAAGAAGCTGGATTAGGTTTTAAGAGAGTTTAGGGTGGCTTTACCAAAACGTCGTACCAGTCGATGAAGTTTCTGACTGTTGGTCTGTGCTGTGTGAGATGTCGACTGCCTGATCTGGGTCCTCGAGACGAAAGGAATCAGTAGTTGAGGACTAACTGTCGATGAGAGTATCGCAGATGTATTGACTCCCTGACATCTTGTGAAGCTTAAATATTTGCACTAACCTTTAACTTGAAGTTGTATATTCTCTCACATAACTTTGTCTACTTTGATATCGCTCTTATTGTATTCACGTTTTCTTTATGTATCACTGTGGATTGTAGCAAGTTGAATCTATGCACTTGTCTTCTAGATTCTACGTTGATTCAGTTCAGTTCAAAAATTAACTTGTAGGTATGTGTGCTAGATCATAAATCACACCTACTATATAGTAGTTGGTGTTACGATGAATTTGTTTACATGAAACGGTGCTTCATTCTAACTTTACTCAGTAGTTGAAAATGGTTTGTTTAAACGAATATACTATATCTTGATTTGCCTAAAATGTCACCTTTATCACCTGGTGATTGCATCCATTTCAGGTAGTCTGTAACAATAATTAACTGCCTAAACTATTTGTAATGTATTTTATGAGTAATTTTGATCAACTGATATTCATTAGTGGCATAAAAGGTGGACTTCTTAGAGCATGCTTAACATTTTACCATGTTCATAAAAGAAATTATTATTATGATTGACCTATGGTATCATAGAATACCTTTGGTATGATTCTGTTTTCTTTTGTTTGTGTATATATTTACATATCCGACTGCTCAGTAATCACATAATATTAGTCACTAGAAAACTCTTATTCATATGAAACTACTTACTAACATGTTTCTCTCTTTCGTTTTCACTAATTAAAACCTATTTCTGAGATACGAACATGTTTTCATGTAGATTTTATGTTTTTGCCATTTTCAGTCTTGTTGCATTGATATTAGAAATCCCCCCCCTGTTTCCTGTAAGTGTAGTATACAGTGAACATTACTTGAAGTTGTCTGACTTCACTCAAAAGTTAAGGAATTACAACAGCAGCTATACATCTATCCCATATTTTCTAAGATAATGTAATGTCAGACTGCTGACCAGACTTTTATTTCATTTCAGCAGTCGGACCTCGTAGCTCAGTTGGTAAAGCATCGGGTCAGAAACCCGTTGGTTACTGGTTCGAATTCGGCCGCGGTCAAAATTCTCATTTCACCTTCAATCATCACCCAGTATAAATATTAGTCTGCCAAACTAAGGCTATCTCAGATAGTCAAATGATAATCAATATGATGCTCCCATTCACTGATTCAGTTAGATTTAGATTTGGATGAGAAGTCGTAACTAGGCAGCCAATGTGAATACGATCAAGCGGTATTATTATTGTTATTATCATTTGTCCCTTTGGTTGCCAGTGGAACATAGGGCTTCAGTAGCTCCTCGTCACTTCACTCTCTTCTCTGCACTCTTTCCAACCTAGCTCCACCACTGCTCAGAGGCTTTCATTTCTTCCTCACATGATCGCCTCTATGTCACCCTCGGACGCCAAACTCGTCGTTTCCCCTTTGAGTTCCACTTGAAGGCTTGGAGCGTGAAGTCCTCAGTCAGTCTTCTCAGTGTATACTCAATCCAATCCATCTCCACTTTCTTCTGCATATTTGTTGGGCGATGGGTTCTTGGTTGGTTCGTTGCTAGGCTAGAGTTCCTTGTTGCTTATTTTTTCTGGCCATCTGATCTCGAGTATCGAGTGAGCGTAGGTGGCAGCTGTTGATGAATGTCTGTGGTTTGTTGAAAATGCTTTTCGAGACACGTCAAGTCTCTGAATCATCACATAGAAGCACTGACTTATTTGACATTAGTGTTGAAAATCCGGATGTTGTTCACGCTTTATGCTGAGTGGAGTGCAGTGCAGTAAATCTCTACACTGATTTCAGATTAATGCATGAAGGCCTGTCTTGCTCTCTGTCCGATCCTGGCTTTGACGTCCTTATCTTTCACGCCTGTAGTTGAGACGATACTGTCTAGGTAGGTAGGTGGGTGAAAGAGACAACTTCGTTTAGATTTTCCCCGTCCATGCTGATTGCTGCTTTTTGTTGTTGTTGGTTGGGTATCTTCATCACTTCTCTCTTCTCTAGGTTCACCTGATGAAAGTCCGGTCTTCGCTGCCTTGCCTCGCCTCGCCTCTTTTACTAACTTGTTAGTTTTCGCCTGTAGATCTTCGACTTTGTGCTACAAGACATGGGATATAAACCGTCATCGGCGAAATCCAAATTGTGTAGGGTCTTTTCATTGGTTGAACAGCGTATGCTCATCTCCTCACAGTTTGTTGCATGATCCAGTCGAGCACAATCAGGAAGATGGTCGGTGATACTAGGCGACAACCTTTTCTTACTCCTGTCTTTACTTCAAAGGCGTCACTGAGCTTTCCATTATCAAGCAGTAGTAACGCATCACGAATTCACATCGTAGTCGTGCCAAACCGTTAGTGATTGAAATGGAATAAGAATCTGATGAGCAGTCGAACTTCGTAGCTCAGTTGGTAGATCATCGGACCGGAAACCCGTTGGTTACTGGTTCGAGTTCGGCCGCGGTCGAAATTTTCATTTCACCTTCAATCACCACCCGGTATAAATATTAGTCTGCCAAACTAAGGCTATCTTAGATAATCAAATGATAATATCTTTGTTCTTAAAAAAGAAAGAAGAGAATTAATAAAAATATCTATTTATTGAATACTTATTTTCTCTATTTTGTAGTTAGGCGATTTTGGTACTGCTGTTACCCTCTCCAATTGTGAAACTTTAGCTGATGTTGGATCATGGCGTTATCTAGCTCCTGAACGTGTAAGCTGTGGACCAGTAAAAAGTTGTGGAGTAAAATCGGATGTTTGGTCTTTAGGCTTAAGCATTTATGAGCTGGCCACTGGAACAAATCCGTATGAACCACCAAGGGATCCAGTGGATGCATTCAATCAGGTAAATTTTTATACAAGCTGTTAAGATTATATTCTATGCTCATAATGTATATTGAGTTAGTAGAATGAAAATCTTGTCAGTTATGAGTACTATAGTTCTGATAAATCTAGTCAGTCCTGAAGGAATCTTATGAGAAGACTCTATAAATTGATACAGCGTCTATGCGAACTCTATGCGTCCAATCAATGGTGGAGATTCACAAGACTATACTATACCCGTCATACAAGGAGTGACTATCGTGACTCATTGACCTTGTGGATGACGTTCTCGCGTCTGGGCCGGTCGGTACTGGGTTCAATTCTTGGTGAGAACATTCACATCCAACTGACTAGTCCCAAATAGGACAAAACGCACGTCCTGGATTCTATTCCTAGCTACTATCCATCAATAATATCAAAGAATAAAGTAGTTATCATAAGTATCATGATGGTGTGTCTTTTAGCTTAGTGATCGTATATCAAAGTGATTAGTGAAATAGTGATTAGCTTCGAGAGGTGATTCTCGGAGTTCCAGTTAGAAGTGGTGGCCGGTGGGAACCGAGCCTGATGGTCATGAGGACAGTTACTCTACGATGACATTGGGTGGCGGTTGCGCTATATCATGAGCTTACAGAAATTGGAAATATGGACGATTGGATTCTGACCCATTGGCTAGCTCAATAGTAACGTGCTGGCCACGGAACCTCAAGGTCGCGGGTGCGCACTGCTGAGGAATCCCATACTAGTTGAACGAAACAGCTGTCCAGTGCCCCCAGGTTTCCATTGTTCCTCCAACTGATGTCAGTCTACGATGAATATCAACTTGAAATATCCATAAATCCCCACAAACCCTCAAATTCAATTAAATAGAATTCGGTCAACACTTAGGACTAGACAACATGCGATTGGTTGCTCTTTAGTGACTAATCATTGTGCTCAATCTATTCGTACAAAAGGTCAGTCGCATCCTGAATAGCTCAGTGGTAACGTCGCTGACTGCAACCCTGGGTAACACGGGTTCGAATCTCATAGGGGACAAAGCACAGAATCTACGTCAAGTAGGCCTTCCTTCTATCAAAGTTCACTGCGATGGTAAGCCTCATAACTTGACGGCCATATTCCAAGATGATTGATAGAAGTCAATGAAGTCGGTTACCCTTTAGTGACCAGTTAGTGTACATCGTACTTCGCTATCTGATTGAATACAGTTACTTGAAAATACTGTTATTGTTTTCCTTTCTATTTCTGTCATATTTCACAGGACATTATTACTACATGTTTATAAGTGGGCTTGTTTTGACTTCATATTACTCCACACAGGGTTTGCCAAATGCCATCATGTGTTAGTGTTGTTGTTATTACTTTCTTAATCTTATGATTCATCAGTATTTTGTATATTTTGAAAGTAATAAAACAAAAACACTAATTTCAAGGTGATATTCATCACGTACTGACATCAAATGGAGAACCATTGATAACCTCTAAGAGTATAGGACAGATATATCGTTCTAGTTGTGGGACTCCTTCATCAGTGCACACCTATGACCGCGCTAAAGATCCATAATTCTCCAATTGACATGAGCTTGTGGTGAATACTACCTTGAAACTAACCGATCAATGCCGCACAAACTTCCAAACTGTAAAAACAATAATCATAGATGCAGTAATCATTTTCATGCTGTTAACTGTGATTGTGCATGGGAGCATCTAGTGTGAATAATTACACCATGTATATACAGTGTCCTTGTACTGATGCGATAATGGAGTAACGAGACTCAATGTGTATTTCTCATGATCTACGGAAACCGTTTTGTACTAAAGTGTCTTTTAATGTGTAGTATATTGCCTACGCTCGTTACTGAAGATCAGATAGCCAAAAAGAATAAGCAACAACGAACTCCGGCAACAAACCAACCAAGAGTCTATCGCTCAACAAATATGCACTGGAAGGAAGTGGAGATGGATTGGGCATACACTGAGAAGGCCGACTGCAGACATCACGTGCCAGGCCAGGCCGTCGAGTGGAACCCCGGTGAGAAACGACAAGTTGGGCATCCGAGGTGAGAGTGACATGGAGGAGATCGTGAGAGGAGGAAATGAGAGCTTGTGGGTTGTCGTGGAGCCAGGTTGAAAAGATTTCAGAGAAGAGAGTGGAATGGAGACGTGTTACTGAAGCCGTATGTTATATTAGGAATACAAGGGACAAATAATAATAAACAATATGTTGCAAGTGACTAGATATTTTGTGATGGTGTGGCTCATTGTACAAAGCGCTGAACTTCATGGGCTTGAACTCCACACTATCGGTCAAGTTATTGGCGACTGTGTAGTATTGAACGGAAACGAGAAGACAGACGAAGGACGGAATGTTTATTGTTAACATGTGGTACAGTAGTCGTTAAATATGGTACATCTTGCACTAAGACAGTCATTTGTAAAATGTGCTTCATTTCGTCTTCTGTTTCTCTCCCTTGATTTGCTCTTCATACGCCCGCGTTGTCACTTGCGTTTCTCTGTGCAAAATCCTTACCCATTGCTGGTAATTCCCTACAATTTCTGCTGCCCCTTCAACATATACTGGTTATATCCATTCTTATCAGCAACACCTTCTACAATATCACCACATGAAGGTTCACGAAGCTACTCGCTACATTTTGATGTCGTTTTTTCCGAGTATATGCTTTTTTTGGTTATTTCTAATGTTTTGTACATTGAGGGGGGCTGCAAAATCAACGGTGATATCCGATTGCCTGTTAAGCGTCTAGTATACTGCGCTCTGGTTCTCTCTATCCTACTTCATGACTATTAAAGGTGGAAGACATCAGGAGACTCCATTGTTGTCTGCATATCTTTGTCCATTTCTTGTGAAACCACCAGGTCAGATATAGAGTTGTAGACACAGGAGGGAAGTCAGTGAATCTTCATTGACTTGAATGATATGGCCATATGTAGCACATGTGAAGTTACCGTCTATCTCGATTTCAGGTGAATTAGGTTCAGTCTGGGAAAAATTTAAGGATAGCCAGACTAAATCTTTGAATTAGTGTATGACAGCCGAAAAAGATGGTTGAAGGCTGTAATTGGTATGGTTCTGATTCTATCGCCGTCATTTGGATAGATTCACACATCATCTTCATGTTAAACATCATCAAAATAAAATGTAGTTATTTGACAAGAAGTTACAATGATCTGCATATATCGTTCTAATGATTGTTTTGTGTGGTTACGTTATTATTGAATAATATGTATGTGTATTACTGAGGAGTCCCATACTAGGACGAAATAGCTATCCAATGCTCCTTGACTGTTCGGTTTGAACCATATAGAGTGATGCAGACTAGTCGATTAGGGTCCGCGAGACAAGATGAACGAGTAGTTAGGGTCTCTGAATGATATGGTTCAGAATCGATGTTAATAGCACAAATGTATACACACTTGTCTTTTTCTTTACCGGTTAGGGTTAGTCTCATCATTTATCCTATTCGTTATTCCTCTTTTTTACTACTTTGTACTGCTCTTGACTAATTTTTCATTCTTTCTTCATCTTTCGTTTTCTTGTCTTGTTACTTGATGTGCCGATATGAGGTGTGGAAACCGTTACGCAGTAATACCTAGTCCTATGTTGATCTTGATGATGATGTTGAAACCACCACGTTAGGCGTAGATTTGTAGGCACAAGAAGAAAGTCAGTTGATGAAGTGGATCTTCACCAACTCGAATGGCATGGCCTTGTATTGTACAAGCGAAGTTATCGCCTATCTCTATGCTACCTGAAGTAGGCCTAAAACTTCGGCACTGTGATAGATTGTAATTCAGTTTTAGTCTGTTTATTCAATGTGTCACTCAGGAAACATCATTCTTTACTGGATAACATCTCGGACAAATCTAATAAACAGACTAAATTATTTGAAATAGGTTTAAGCTGAAAAAGTTAAAGGTGGTCAGATTGAAACATTGAATCAATGCATAAAGTCTGTGCCTGTTAGTTTGAGCCGTTTACAGAAATGTAGACCTATGGGTTGAGGTTGCTGTGACAACTGTAAAAGATAGTGGATATGGTTCGAATTCTTTCTTAGTGATACAGATGCATCCACATATTATCCTCATCGTGTGGTTGGTTATTGTTGAATGGCTAATATATATACTGAGGAGGCCTGCACTAGGATGAAACAGCTGTCCAGTGCCTTCAGTGGTCCTCCAATCGATTTGAATCCGCGATGGACACTGCCTTATAAGTCCCAAACTACATTACTTTGGAGTAAGTTAATCGGAAGTGAAACGATTGCATACCGAAAACCTTGGTGGATAGTTGTGCTATGTCGCAAATTGACACTATGAACTATTGAGCTTCGATAAAGTGACTGAATGGTTAACCTGTTCGCCGTAAAACCTGAAGGTTTTGAGCTGGATCCCTGGCAGGGGCATCGCATACTAGAACGAAGCAGCTGTCCAGCGCTCCTGGGCTTTCAATTGTTCTGCAAGTGATGTTAGTCCCTGATGAATATTATCCTTGTGGTAGTGTTGTCTTTTACTTACATACCTAACCTTTTGAAAGTTGTAATCACCTTTTTTCGTCATATATTTTTGTTATTATTGCTTGTATTATCCCGTCGTTGATTCATCATCATCATTCATCATTATCAACATAGGACCAGGCATTACTGCGTAACGGTCCGAGTTGCCACACCTCATATCAGCACATCAAGTAAAAAGGTAGTGAGGTGAAGGATGAAGATAAGTGAATGCAGTCAAAAGAAATATAAAGTACGAGAAGAAAGGAAAGAGGAGTGACAAAATGGTGAGATTCGGTATAGCGTTGTTAAGATGAGGATAATGTGTGTATACATCTGCGCCACTGACTTCGGTTCTGAGCCATATCACCTAAGGTCTGCAACCACTGGTTCCTCTTGTCCCGTGGACCCCAACCACCTAGTCTGCATCGTCCTACATGGCTTAAACCAACAGTCAGAGACTTCATACATTGGTGCCATGTTTTAGTCTGGCCACCTCGGGCCTTTTTCCAGCCTGAACCCACCTCAGCCAACATTGTGTGACGAGGCAATCGGTGACTAGGCATACGTAGTACGTGTCCCAACCATCTCAGTCGATGAAGGTTCACAACCTCGTCGACTGACTTACCTCTTCTCCCTAAAACTCTACACCTAACTTCTGTATTACTCACATGGTGACACCACGGGATACGTCCTATATTACGAAGGCAACGGTGGTCAAATACCTGTAACCTTCTCATGTCTTCCACTTTCAATGGCCATGTTTCACAGCCACACAGTAGAACAGAGCGGACTGCTGTGCAGTACACGCGACCCTTAATAGACAAACAGATATCACGGCGGCGCCATAGGTGGCGCAAATTGGCAAAAGCCAATCGAGCCTTTTGTATCCGTGCAGAAATCTCATCGTCGTTGATTGGACTGAATTGATCGGTCTCTATTGGATTATACGCTCCTATACGGATACCTCCATTGATATTGCCTGTGTTTTAATTATGCATAGTAATGGTGGTTAGTGGTTAGCAGTGGATGCGCATTTCGTCCCGTTTGGGACTCGTCAGCTGGATGTACCTACCCCCCGGGACTCGAACCCAGGACCGATTGTTTCAAACACCACAGTTATGATAGCCACTTTAACTTTATAATCTATTCTATGAAATATATTTCAGCATTGTTGTATTCTATAAATTTGTTTTCTTTAAATTAGATTGTGAATCGTGATCCTCCAAGTCTTTCTGGTGACTTACCTTATTCAAATCATTTAAGAGAATTTTTAAATATGTGCCTTATTAAAGAAGTTGGTGAACGTGCTGATTACAATGATTTACTAGTATCAGATTTTATTCGATCCATTGATGTCAATTGTTATATGTTAACAACTGCACAATTTTTAAGTAATTATATTTCATAGACAAAAGAAATAAGACAAGATAATTTCAATTACTTTACAGTTTTTATTTATTTATTTATTTATTTAATAACTAGTCAGTTCTTCTTTTTGTGTTTTATACATAGAGCGAAAAATATTTCAATCTGTTATAAAATGGAATTGTGATATAATCAATCCTCCAATCCATTTTATATTCATATATGGTTCTTAGTGTATATCATATTTTGCCTATAGAAATTTTGTACATGATAGAAAAGAAAGGTGATATTAGTAATATAAGAAGAATATTGTTTATCTAAATAAATTCCTGTTTCTTTTCGGTTGGTTATTTTGATCTGTTTTCTGTGATTGTGATATTTTTTCTTCTCATCCTAGTAAAGGATATAGTTATTATTATTATTATTAGCCTTATGGACTTATCCTGGCCTCCCTTCTTTGTCAATCTTTGAATTTTTGAGGAAGATATTTCAAGTTGTTATTCATTGTAAACTGACATGAGTTGGAGGAACAAATGAAACCTGGAAGCATTGGACAACTGTTTCGTTCAACTAGTATGGGACTCCTCAGTGGTGCGCACTCATGACCCCGCCAGGGATCATGAGCTAACAGAAATTGGAAATATAGACGATTGGATTCTGACCCAGTGGCTAGCTCAATGGTAACGCTCTGGCTGCGGAAACTGAAGGTGGCGGGTACGATCCCTGGTAGGGTCGTGGGTGTGCACTGCTGAGGAGTCCCATACTAGTTGGACGAAACAGCTGTCCAGTGCTCCCAGGTTTCCATTGTTCCTCCAACTAATGTCAGTATACGATGAATAACAACTTCAAATCTTTGAATGCCTATAATGTAACTTTTTTTGGTGTACAAGAAAAAAAACTGAAAAAAATCTGTAATTTCCCCCCTATTTTCAACTTATTGTATATATCAATTCCTTTGTACAACATACTTTTTATCATTTTTTTTCTTACACTGATTAGTATTCAGGATATTGTTAGTTTTTTTTGCAGTAAACTCAACAAACAGAAGAGTAGACAAGATTTACTGTTCATTCTTGAATATGCATATTTCAGGTATACAATTTCAATGGTTGTGCACTATTTATTTTCTTTACTTTGGTATATTCTCCTACTTTTTATTATACTTTCATTATTATTATTATTATCATCATCAGTAGTAGTAGTAGTAGTAGTACTAAGTAGTATTTTTCATTTTCAAAAAAAACAAACAAATGGATCATTAGTTAATATCGGTGTTTCATAATTCATTTCTATTTGAACGTTTATTTCATAAGCTTAGTGTATTCATGTATACACAATGTGAATGTAATCTCCCCATTTCAATCATTACTATTATTATTATTATTATTACCGATGATAATTACTCGTGAAAAGTATTGATCCACTGTATTTCTTTAACGCGCTCGATCCTATGACAATTGAGTAGTATAATTGGGTCTCTTTTTACAATATTTGTTTACAAGAAAATGCCTAGTCAGTATATACATATATCATCTCTTCACTAGGCGTCTATTTTAATGCTGCTCAAATGGGAATTAATTACTCACTTTTTATTAACTATACAGTCAAGTAATTAATAAAAATTTATTATTCCTATTATATCAGTTTTCTGTGATATATTTCCTCCTTATTTTATTGTGTTATTCAAATATACTTACTTCTAACATATTTTATACTGCATATTTTGTTTGTTTGTTTATTTATTTATTTTAACTTCCATTGGTTAAACAAAGTTTCTATGATGCTGAAAAAACAAACAAACAAACAACAGTTGAAATTATTTTTTATGAATCTTTGTCATTAGGAATTAATTACAAAATAAATTATTTATTTGGCTTACTTTCTGCTTATCGGAGTATTTATTATTAAACGGGTATCAGGTAAGTACATCGGTATGTTGAAGTCATTGTGTTCACACACTGTATGGAATATATTTTAAAGTATCCAGGTGAGTGGTATCCGTTAAAAATGTTCACTGTCTCCATTGTTATTTAATTTTGTTATCGATATGCTCATACAGGCCTCTCTCTCTCTCTCTCCTTATCTTTCTTTTCGTTATCGAATTACTAGTGGAAATAACCTTAGATTCATCAGACTTTATAGGGATTGATCTATTCCTTGGAGGGTAGTCTAGTGAACTAGGAGTATGCGAACAATATTTCGCTGCTAGGTAAAGATGCTGACACAATGCAGAGTCTTCTAAACGCTTTGAGAAAATATCTGAGTATTTTTAGCATGTAATTCGCACCTATCAAATATAAAATGATTCTCCAGGACTAGTCCACTGCAAGTACTCCCAGTTTTATGATAGAGAGTGAAGTCAGTAGTTGCATCAGCTTGAACGGGCTGGTTGCTGACAAAATCTCAGCTGGTATACAAAAGAGTCATTTGACAATTTCCGTCGTCAGTGGAGCTGACTGGTAAGACATCCGACCATCTATCAAAAGACGAACGTTCTATCCTGTCATACGGTTAAGACATGGCCGTTAAAAGTAGAAAACGTCAAGCATTTACAGGGTTTTGATCAAGCGTGTTTTCGTAACATTGCTATCGTCTTGTGGAATCATCGTGGAAGCAATGTTAAGGTCAGGCGAAAGGTGCTAGGCAAGTCAGTCGATGACGCTGTGAACCTTAGTCGATTGAGATGGCTTGGACGTACACTGCGCATGCCGAACCACCGCCTACCTCGACGTGCCATACTAGACGAAGCTGGATTAGGTTTTAAGAGAGTTTAGGGTGGCTTTACCAAAACGTCGCACCAGTCGATGAAGTCTCTGACTGTTGGTGTGAGCTGTGTGAGGAGATGTCGACTGCCTGATCCGGGTCCTCGAGACGAAAGGAATCGGTGGTTGAGGACTAACTGTCGATGAGAGTATCGCAGATGTATTGACTCCGTGACATCTTCTGAAGTTTAAATATTCTCACTAACCTTTAACTTGAAGTTGTATATTCTCTCACATAACTTTGTCTACTTTGATGTCGCTCTTATTGTATTCACGTTTTCTTTATGTATCACTGTGGATTGTAGCAAGTTGAATCTATGCACTTGTGTGTTAGGTTCTACGTCGATTTTCTCTGTCTTTCTCTTTCCGGATTTACCTTGTCTCAGGAAACTCTCTAGTGGAAGGTTTTGTTCCAAGACTGATCTGAGTTGGTGGGTTATCGTTTGACACAAAGCAGTGTAGTGTTTGAGCGTTTATATCACCACAGTCGGTTGTTAGCTCGGATTAGGTTAGGTAAATCAGTAACCAGTGAAATTGTGGCATAAATCCCGACCGATAGCTGCTACCTTGACGTGGTGGTCGGGCTTGCATATCACAATGACCCAACGAGCTATGCTGGTGGAACGCTTGTTCCCTCGAGGTCCTACCATACCAGAAAGGTCTGTTGGGTAGTGGTTAGACGAAAAGCAGTTACCGTTATAGTGTAAATTGCTACACTATGATGGGGGTCTGAGGGCGAAGTCGTACTGCTGCTAGCTGGATGGGGTGTGACAGCAGTAAGGTGTTTCCCTTGGATGACCAGCAGTGCCAAGCTGATGCTGCCTTCTCAGTGGAAGGGGGGGTTAGAAAAGGTCGGCCCCAAAAATAACACACTCCACCACGCCCCACGGTCTGCCGGGCCGGCGGTGTTGGTTCACTTGTCGTTTTCTTTCTACCATCCGGCCCCAAAAATACAAAAGTTCAAAATAATCATACTCAAAAGGCTGGGTGTGACAGGCCTCAAGCAGATGTCCGATGGGCTCTGCGGTCACACAAATCTCTTTCAGGTACCTTAAGAAGAAATAGCCTTCCACGGTGTGGGCAGCCGGGAAGTGTCAACCGCCCTCACAACTCTGTCAGCACCCAAGTTTCTTCTGACTGCTATCCTCCTCCTCCATCATTACCTTCTAATCTTCCTTCACGTCTCTTAATTAATGATGCTGCATCATCTTCAATTTCTCCTACCTCTGCAGCCTTCGACAACGATCTGAGTCCACAGAACAGCATCCCTGGTCTCCTTAAACCACGCTCCAAATTACATATTGGAGCCTTCAATGTCCGCACCCTCCGTCAAATTGGCCAACAGGCTTCGTTGGCAAAGACTCTAGCAACTCGGGCATGGATGTGTGCTGTGTTTGTGAGACACGCATACAGGACCCAAGTGTGGTTATTCACCTGACCTCTCCTGACCAATCTGGTGAATCTGCAAAATTCACCCTTCGAGTTTCTGGAGATTCGATAGCTAGCTCTCGTGGTCTTGCAGGTGTAGGTATAGCATTAAGCACCAGGGCAGAAAACTCACTACTAGACTGGATCCCAGTTGATAGTCGCCTCTGCGCTATGAGGCTGAACGGCACAGTGAGAACTAAAAGGAATAGTGAGACTCGCCGTTGTCTCTTTGTAATCTCTGCTTACGCACCCACTGACTGTAGTTCGGATGAAGTGAAGGACGAGTTCTACCATAAACTGTCTAACCTCCTCTCGAAAGCCAAACGTTCGGACGTAGTGGTTGTTGCAGGTGACCTCAACGCACAGGTGGGTAGACTGAGTGAGGCAGAAAGGCACTTAGGTGGCACTTTCGGAATCCCAGCTGAACGTACAGATAACGGTGATCGCCTATTACAACTATGCTCAGATAACCGCCTATTTTTAGCCAGCACAAATTTCAGACATAAAGAAAGGCACTGTCTGACCTGGCGTCCACCGAGCTCGACTCAGCGATGGACACAGATAGACCACATTGCTATTAGTCATCGCTGGAGAGGATCGGTGGAAGACTGCCGCTCCTTCTGGAGTACGTGTTTGGACAGCGATCATGCGTTGGTCCGAGCACGTATATGCCTGCGTCTCAATGGACGTAGAAAAAATTTGGCAACAAAACCACTACGAGTTCTGCTGGACAACGAAAACACCAAAGCCGTGTTCAGTGAGAAGTTGGCTAGGCAGTTATCGGAACAAAAGACTGTCACTCATCCAGAAGAAGCTTGGTGCCATCTTCAGTCTACTGTAAAAGCAGCACTGG